ATGTTTTATCCAGTTTTTACTCAAATTACAAGAATTTTTTTTTTTTTTTTTTTTTTTTTTTACCGTTGAGTTAAGCTCTTCATATTTTGGCTATTAACCCCTTTTCAGATGAATAGTCTGCAAATGTTTTCTCCCATTCTGTGTGTTGTCTCTTCATTTTGTTGATAGTTTCCTTTGCAGTGCAGAAACTTTTTAACTTGATATGATTCTGTTTTTGCTTTGGTTCCTGTGCTGTGGGATGTTATTTCAAGAAACATTTACCCAGACCAATGTCCTGGAAAATTTCTCCCAACATTTCCTTTTAGTGTTTTCATAGTTTGAAATCTTATATTTAAGTTATTTTGATTTGATTTTTGTGATGGTAAGAGATAGGGGTCAAGTTTCATTCTTCCGCAATATGGATACCCAATTTTTCATGCACCATTTATTGAAGAGACTCTCCTTTCCCCAATGCATGCTTTTGGTACCTTTGTCAAAATGAGTTTATTTTGTATGTATGGATGGATTTACTTCTGGGTTCTCTATCTTGTTCCATTGGTGTATATGTCTGTTTTTATACCACTGTCATGCTGTTTTAATTGCTATCGATTTTCTACAGTATAATTTGAAATCTGATAACGTGGTTTCTCTGGTTTTGTTTTGTTTTTCTCTCAGGATAACTTTGAATGTTCCAGGCCTTTATGGTTCCTTGTACATTTTAATTTATTTTTATTTTTGTGAAGAATGTCATTGGTATTTTGATAGGGATTCCATTGAATCCATAAATTGCTTTCAATAGTATGGACATTTTAACAATTTTGATTTTTCACATTCATGAATGTAGAATACCTCTTCATTTTTTTGTGTTTCTTTTAGTGTCCTGCATCATTGTTTTATATTTTTAACTGTGAAAATATTTCATTTGTTTGGTTAAGTTTATTCCTAGTTATTTTATTTGTAGCTATTTTAAACAAGATTACCTTCTTGATTTCTTTTTCAGATTGTTCACTGTTGGCATGTAGAAATACTACTGATTTTTGCATATTGATTTTTTATCCTGAAACATTACTGAATTTATCAGTTCTAATGGTTTGCAGTTGCATCTTTAGGGTTTTTCAAATATAAGATTATATCATCTGCAAACAAAGATAATTTAACTTCTTTCTTTCCAATTTGGATGTGTTTTTATTTCTTCTCTAATGTCTGATTTCTCTAGCTAGGACTTCCAGTACTATGTTGAGTAACAGCAGTGAAAGTGGGCATCCTTGTCCTATCCAGTATCTAGGAGGAAATGGTTCAGTGTTTCCCCATTCAGTGTGACACTTGCTGTGGGCCTGTAGTACATGGCTTTTATTATGTTGATGTATGTTTCTTCTGACCAAGTTTTCTGAGGGTTTGAGGTTTTCTATCATGAAGGGATGTTGAATTTTATCAAATGATTTTTCAGGATCAGTTGAAATGATCTTGTTTTTTGTTCTTAATTCTATTGTTATAATGTATCACATTACCTAATTTGTATATTTTGAAACATCCTTGCATCCCTGAGATGAATCCTACTTGGTCATGATGAAAAATCTTTTTAATGTGGTGTTGAATTCAGTTTGCCAGTATTTGTTTAAGATTTATGCATCAATGCTCATCAGAGATATTGACCTGTGGTTTTCTTTCTTCTTTTTTTCTTTTTTTAATGTGTCTGTCTGATTTTGGTATTAGGGTAATACTGGCCTCATAGAACAAGTTTGGAAGTATTCTCTTTTTTATTTTTCAGAACACTTTAAGTAAAATTGGTGTCAGTTCTTTAAAAGTTTGGTAAGATTTAGCAGTAAAGCCTATGAGTCTGTGGTTTTTCTTTGCTGGGAGGTTTTTTATTACAGCTTCTATCTCTTTTGTCTTATGGGCTATTCAAGGTTTGCATTTCTTCATGGTTTAATCTGGGTAGATTGTGTGTTTCTAAGAATTTGTCCATTTCCTTTAGGTTTTCCCATTTATCAGCAGATTGTTGATAAATGTCAAAGTAGTTTCTAAGTATCCATTGAATGTCTGTGGAATCAGTTGTCATGTCTCTTTTTTTCATCCCTGATTTTATTTATTTGGGTCTTCTCTCATTTCTTCTTAATCCTACTAACTATTTGTTGATTTTGTTTATCTTTTCAAAAAGCCAACTTTTTATTTCTTTGTTATTTTGTACTTTTTTGTTTGAATTTCATTTATTTCTGCTCTAATCTTTGTTATATATTTTCTTCTGTTAATTCAGGGTTTGGTTGACTCTTTTGTAGTTCTTTAGGATGCATATTTAGGTTGTTTATTTGAAGTTTTTCTAATTTTTTTATGTGGGCACTTATTGTTATAAACTTTCCTCTTGTTACTTCTTTTGCTGTACCCCATAGATTTGATTATGTTGTGTTTCCATTTTTATTTGTTTACCAGAAATTTTAAATTTTTTTCTTAATTTCTTCATTGATACTCTTGGTGGGTCGAAGTCCCACTATCATTGTGCTCTCTCCTTACAAAGCATTCAGATTTTCTCTGTGTGCCACACAGCCACTAGCACTGGGTGGATCACTGAAGAAATTATACAAACTTTTCCAAGTGTTTATATAGTTTCCAAAGTTTCTCTTGGTGCTCTAGCCCACTGTGGCCAAGCTGGTTTCTCCTAATTTTCCATCTTCTTTCCTACAGCAGGAGTTTCTCACTATGGCCACTAAACTGAGAATATTCTGGGTCCCATCTGCAGCCAGCATGGCCCTTGTTCTCAACAAAGGCCCATGGCAAGTACTACCTGGTTACCACTGATCATTATTTTGAGACCCAGTGCTCCTTAGTCAAAAGGTGATGAATCTTGCCAGGACTAGGTTCTTCTTTTCAAGGCAGCAGATTTCCTTGGCTCAGCTGTGCCTAGAAATGTCATCCAAAAGCTAGGACTTAAATGGTGGCCCAAGACCTCCGCCTGGTGCTCTATTCTGCTGTGCCTAAACTGGTACCCATATTGCAAGACAAAATCCTCTTTACTCTTTCCTTTCCTCTCTTCTAGCAGAAAAAAGGAGTCTCTCCTGGAGCTGTGAGCTACACTGCCTGGGACTGATACAAACATTCCCTTGGCTGTACCAGCTGGTATCTCACTAGATCACATGCACTCCAAGTCCCCTGGCTCCGAGCCCAGAACTGCACCAGTACTTGCCCATGAATGGCAGTCCTTGTGGCCTGTACAGCCTTTTACATTTCTTTAGGTCCAAAGACCACTTTAGCCCATGGTGGTGGAACTAACCATAAGACAAGTTATGACTACTGGAATAGACTATTTCTTTCTTGCAAGGGCTGGCCTAAATGCTGACATGATGAGTGTTGGCTGAAATCTGTACTGGTTTGCTTTTTGCTATGACAGGGCAACACTGAACTTCAACACAAAGTCCCTCTATCACTGTACTTTCTCTTCAACAAGCACACAGATTTTCTCTCTATGCCATATGGCCATGACAAGGGGGTTAGAGAGGCATGATGCTGAGGATTCAGAACAGTCTCTCCCATGTTCTTCAACACCTCTTTCTTTGATGCAATGTTAAAACCGGGTACTATGGATACTCATATAATTTGGGGTTATTATGAAGGTATTTGTGTGTGTATGTGTAGAAAATTGTTCAATTTGAGGGTTTTGCAGTGGGGGACCATTGTTGTAGGGTTCTATTTGGCTCCCTGGCTCCACCTCTCTTTTCAGTGTTTTTTTTTTTTTTCCTCTCTAAATAAATTTAGTGAGGCATACTAATATACCATATAATTTACCCAGTTAAATAAATAACAATATCTTTTAAAAATTAATTTACCAAGTGTTAAAATCACTACTGTAATTCAGTTTTAGGACAATTTTTTAATCACTATGATTAGGTTATGTATGCCATTTTACTGTTAGTCACCATTCCCTGTACCTCCTATTCCAGGGAACCACTACTGTAATTTCTATCTCTATAGATTTACTTTAAGTCATTTCATACAAGTGGAACTGTATAATATGTGTGCTTTGTTAATGGCTGCTTTAATTTGGTATCATTATTTCAAGGTTCATTTATACTGTAGTATGAGTCAGTACTTAATTCTTTTTATCCATGGATAATATCCCATTAATTGAAGATATGCCACTTTTATTTATTTTTTATTTATTTATGAGATGATGAACATTTAGGTTCTTTTAATGTTTTGGCTATCATGAATGGATCTAAAGGTCTCAATGAATTCTAACAACAATAACAACAAAAATTTAAGGATTTATGTCTAAACCTATTGAAACAAAAGAGTAAGTCAATGAATACAAAGAGGCGATCTTAAGAGTGCTACAGAGAAAACCAATCATTTAGAAAGAGATTGCAACTAAATCATCAGCCGACTCCTCAACTTTATGGAAGACCATGTTAATCTTCAATATAGATCCAAAAATCTTAAATAAAATCTTAACATATAGCAATGTATAAAAATGTTCGTAAAATATGACAAGATTTCTTCTACTAGCAATCTATCATTGATTCAAATAAGGATATAATAATATGCCGCATTAATGTGTTAAACATTAAAAAATATGTGATTCCAACAAACAATTATCAAAGCTTTCAGTGAAAATAATCTATTTTTGCTAGTATACGTTTAGAAAACAAGAATAGGTTATATTGTTTGTGCATATAAATTTCAAAAACTTCCAAAATTAAGTAATGCCCAATTTTTTGAATTACTGCATATGTGGTAAAACTAAGAAAAAGGCAATTAAATGATAAATAAATAATCGAGTTTAATGTTTGCCTCTGAGATGGAAGTGGAATGGGATTTGAGGAAACAATTGTAGGAGTAGTCTACAAAGATTATGAAAATTTTCTATTTTTAAATTTTGTTTGGTTACAGGATGTTTGTTTTCTTATGACACTATAATAAAAACATAGATTCTTTGTCTTTTCTATGTATGATATTTCATAATAACATAACAAAATACTATTTTCAAGTGCATACTCTCTGATATTTTATATTCTGTCTCCATTTTACAGCCAGACTGTAAGGCATATGGACAACCACCATTTCCTTGCAGCAGGGAGTATGATCCTCTCTGTGCATCTGATGGACTCCCCTATGGTAACGAATGCATGTTTTGTCTGGACGTTAGGTAAGGGCACAATGGTAAATATTTTCTCTTCTTGCTTATTAAAATATTTTTAATAGTGTCAATATGCTATGGACTACTTGCTTCCTCTTAATCTACAAACACACACACAGTAAATAGCTTATATTTTCTACTATAACTTGAAACACTCTTAAACTTTAACTAGGAATCCCCAGTCCTAAAGGGAGGTTAATACTTGTAATGATGCTGGCTGGTTTTCAAATACTCAAATTAGTTAACCATACCAAAATTACATAATCATTAAAAAGAACTAGAACTTGATCAACATGCTATAAAGTGGGAGACTCAGGAGTTAAACTGTACCTTTCTCATTCTCTCCTTCCTTGACTCATGGTGCGTACTCGTACTGAATCAGAACTGAGACAATAGCCCCACACAGGGCAGAGTACATTTGCAGGGGCTGGGAAATAGCAGGGTATAGCTGTTTGAAAAAGTATAGTCCAAGCTTTCCAACTTACATTTTATTTAAACGCTTAGTCACTGAGAAGCACTTTAGACCTTACGAAGGAATATGACATATTTTTTTTTCTCTCTCTCTTTACAGAAAAAATAAACCTTCTCTTACTTTTCAACACTGGAACGAATGTTGACCTTTGTCGATGCGGTGCTATACATTCCTATGACATTTCTTGTAATCCTTTCTTGTTGGATTCTATGGAATGTAGTATGTAGTGCTTTAAATTCCTACAAAAGTAGACGGATGCTATTTTAGAGGGAGTATAGATTATAAAAATTGGAATACTCTTATAATTCCAAAGCACTATAATTTAAAAATTAGAATTATCTATCAGTATTCAAATATTTGAGGAAGCTCTGAAAACACAGAAATGTAATTGTGTATTTTAATGATGAAACAAAGATATTTCTCAATCAATAAATACTTTGCTCAATGAACTTGTTGCACGATATTTACTTTATTAAAATCACTTTTACTTTTGTGATTGCACATAATGTATAATATAGCTAATGCTACCTAAAACAATGTTGCACAGACTTGTTTTTTAATATATAAAAAAGTATAGATATCTAAGACTCTCCAGATTATAATAAATCTAAATCTTCGGGACAAAAGTCTAGTGTCTAAATTTTAATCAGCACCCTAGGTGAGGCAAGCATTGACAGAAACTTTTAGTCTTAAAAATAGTTTAATATTTACAGCAATCCAGCTTCCATACATATTTCAGGAAAATTTCACTGTATTTGTTCCGGTACAGGCTAAGCCACCATATTAGTTATACAATATATATAAAAATTAAGGCTAGGCCTGGTGTCTCACACCTGTAATCCCAGCACTTTGGGAGGATCACTCGAGGTCAGGAGTTCAAAACCAGCCCAGCCAACATGGTGAAATCATGTCTCCACTAAAAACACAAAAATTAGCCAGGTGTGGTGGCGGGCATGTGTAATCCTAGCTACTCGGGAGGCTAGGGCAGGAGAATCATTTGAACCTGGGAGGCGGAGATCGCAGTGACCCCAGATCATGCCATTGCTCTCCAGCCTGGACAACAAAGTTAAACTCCATCTCTCACTCTATAAAATATTTATATATAACTTATAACATACAAAATTTTATATATAATTTATAATTAAATTGTAATGTATATTATAATTTATAATGTATTTTTATTTCATAATTATAAAATGTTTATGAATATTATAAATTATATAAAATTATATAGAAATGTATAGTAAAATTATAAAAATTATAATTATATAAAATTATAATATAATTTGTACATTATATATATTTATGTAAATATTATCTATTACATATTTTAATTGAAGTAAATTATGCATGTGTTATTTACCATCTCTACCATTTTTAAGTGTACAGTTCAGTAGTAATAAAATATTTATAGCCTTTTTTTCTTATGCTCCTCCCTTCATCTTCTCATTGTCAGCCTCTGCTAGCCACCAGTCTACTCTCTATCTTCATGAGATTCACTTATTTATCTTCCACATTTGAGTGAGAACATTTAATATTTGTCTTTTTGTGCTTTGCTTTTTTCACTTAACATAATGACTTGTATTTCCATCTATGTTGCAGCAAAGGCTTAGATTGAATTCTTTTTATGGCTGAATAGTATTTCATTGTGTAGTTTCAAATACCAAATTTTCTTTATTCCTTCATCCATGGAAAGGCACACAGGTTGATTCCATATTAAAGGTACTGTGAATGGTGTTGCCATAAACATGGGAGTGCAAATGCCTCTAATATATTTATATCCTTCCTTTTGGAAACATACCAACTAATGGAGTTGCTGGAACATAAGATAATACTATATTTACTTTTCAGAGGAACATCCATACTGTACTCCATAGTGGGTATAGTAACTTACTTTCACCCCAAAAGCCTATGAAGTTTTCCCTTTCTCCACGTTCTCACCAGCATTTGTTATTAACTCTATTTTTCATACAAACCATTTTTACCTCGGTGAGATGGTATCACACTGTGCTATTGGTTTACATTTTTTGGATGATTAGCGATGCTGAGCATTATATCATAAACCTGTTGGCCGTTTGTATATCTTATTTTGAGAAATGGCTTTTTGGATCTTTTGCTCATTTGTTAATTAGATTATTATTATTTTTGCTATTGAGTTATTTGAGTTCTTATGTATTCCGGCTATTAATTCCTTTTCACATGAATAGGGTGCAAGTATTTTCTCCTTTTCTGTGTGTTGTCTCTTTACAGTGCTGCTTGTTTTTTTTGATGTGAAGGAGCTTTTTACTTTGATGTAACAGCAGTTGTCTTTTTTCTTCCATTTTTATTTGCTGTTTTTGTTGCCTGTGCTTTTGAGGTCTTATTTTAAACGTCTTTTCCTGAATCGATGTCCTGCAGCATTTTCCTAATATTTTCTTTTAGTAGTTTTATAGTTTCCGGTTTTAGATTTTCATCTATTTTAGTTTGATTTTTGTGTATTGTGAGAGGTAGGGGTCTAGTTTTATTCTGCATGTAGTTTCCTAGTTTTCTCAGCACCATTTGTTTAAACAACTATAGTTTTCATATTGTGTATTCTTTTCACATTGTGTATTCTTGGCACCTTAGTGGAAAATGAATTGTTTTGAGTTAGTTGTAAATATGTAGATTCATTTTTATTATCACTCAGTTTAAGTATTTTTTTCTTTGTAAGATGATGTGTTGTTATGTTGCCCAGGCTGGTCTCAAACTCCTGGTCTCAAGTGATCCTACCAACTCAATTTCCCAAGTAGTTAGAATTACAAGCATGACTTACCACACCTTTTATCACTATATAGTTACCCTCCTTGTCTATTTTCATGATCTTTCATTTTTGACTATTTTATCTAAGTGTAAGTACTCCTGCTATTCTTTGGTTTTCAGTAACATGGAATATCTCTTCCACCCTTTTATGGTCAATTTCTGTCTGAACATTTCTGTGCACTGTCATATTATCTGCAAATAGGCATAATTTCCAATTTTACTTTTTTTGTTTTCCTTTCTTATGCCTCTAATTGAATTCCCTTGCTTCCCACCCTGGCTAATACCTAATACCATAGTAAATAACATTGGAGATATGTACATCATTCACCTTTTACATTTCTGTTTCTATTTAGCAAAAATGCCTCTAGTAAGATGCTGACATCAGGAGGTGTGTGTGTGTGTGTGTGTTTGGAAATTGTCCACTATATTTTAAAATATTTTTATTGGAAATTTGTGTTGAATTTGTCAACTGTCTTTACAGCACTTGTAGAAATGATTATACTATTTTCTGCCTGAACTACTAATATGTTGTGTTATGTTAATGACTTTCTAATACTGAATCAACTTTGTATGATGGAAATAAATTCCATTTGGACATCGCTTATTTTTTTAATTGATGTTTGATTTTGTTTATTAATATTGTACTTAATAGTGTATGTACTATTATCCTGAAAAATTATAATGCTGTATTGCTTTTATCAAGTTTTGGTATGTTCATTCTATAAAACTTGCTTCATTAAAACATGGAAGTTTTCCTTCATTTTTTTGATTCTCTAAAGTAGTTTATATGACATAGGGAGGGTGTTGGAGTTTGAAAGATAAATTCTCTTTTGAAATCCTTTGGCTTTATTGTTTTCCTTTTTCTGCATGATTTCTCCCTTAATGAATGTTTATGCTTTTTAAACAGACACTTCACCTGTTTAAGTTTTCTGCATCTATTGGGATTAAGTTTGGTACAACGTTTTTTTTCTTTTAAAAAAATAAAACTTCTTTATTTTTTCTGGAATTTCAAGTTTGTTTGTAATAAAATATGCGAAGTAGTCTTTTATAGGTTTGCTAATTTACTATATTTTAACACCATTCCAATTTTACACTGCATTGTTATTTTAGATTTTTAAAATTTTGCTATTTTATTAAAAAATCTAGATTTTGACTTACTATTTATTCATCTGTAGCTTTATCTTTTAATTATTTTTTGTGTTTCTGTTGTTTAAATTATTTGTTCATTTCTACTTTTCTAATTGGAAATTTAATTCACTTTTTCCTCTTTTCCATTTTTGTTGATATAGGTACTTATGATTATGAATTTTTCTGCGATTACTGCATTAAATGTATCAAACTGATTCTAATATGGATTATTATGATGTTCAATTTATTTTGTTAATACTCTAAGTTTGTGTTGGGGTTCACTCAGGGTGGCTGGCAAAATATTAGGGAAATATTAGGGAAAGTTATAGATTATAGTCTCCAACCTTTTGAAGGGCCAGAAGTTCAGGGAAAAGATAGGGATGCTAAAAGCCTTTTCCAGTTTAAGTCTGTTTACCCCATATTCCTTTGTCTCTACTCATTTGTTTGCTCATGTAAACTTTATGCTGATGATCCTCTCATGAGGAGGCTTTCTCATACATCCTCTAAAATCTAGGGAGAACCTTCCAGGTCTCTTTCATGTTTGCATTCTGTGCATCTGCAAGCTTAACACCACATAGAAGCCACCAAGGCTTATGGCTTACAGTGGCTCAAGCTGTACCTAGCGCCCTTTGAGCTGCAGCTGGAGCTGGAGCAATGGGGATGCAGGGAGCAGAGCAGCCTTTTAGAGCTGCACAGGGCAGTGGGAGCCCTGGGCTTGGCCCAGAACCATTCTTTCCTTTTAGGCCTCTGGGTCTGTGATGGAAGAGGCTGTCTTGAAGGCTTCAAAAATGTCTTAGAGACCTTCTTCCCATTGTTGTGGCCATTAGCACCTGGCCCCCTTTTTGTCATGTGAATCTCTCTAGCAACTAGTTGTTTGACAGCCTTCTTGGATTCCTCTCCTGGAAATTCTTTTTCCACATGGCCAGGCAGAAAATTTCCCAAATTTTAATGCTCTGCCTCTCTTTTAAATATAAGGTCCAATTTTAAGCCATTTTCTTGTTTCCGTATCCCATTATAGATTGTTAGAAGTAGCCATACCACATGTGGAATACTTGCTGCTTAGTAATTTCTTCTGCAAGATACCCTAGGTCATTATTCTTAAGTTCAATCTTCCACAAATCCCTAGGATATGGATTTAATGCAGCCCAGTTTTTGCTAAGGTGTAACAAGGGTGACCTTTTCTCCAGCTCCCAATAACTTTCTCATTTTCATCTGAGATCTCATCAGCCTGGCCTTTACTGTCCATATTTTTATCAGCATTTGGTCACAACCATTTGATCAATTTATAAGAAGTTCCAAACTTTCCTTTGTCTTCCTTTCTTCTTCTGCCCCCTCCAAAATCTTCCATTCTCTGGCCATTATCCAGTTCCAAAGCCACTTCCACAGCTTCAGATATCTTTATAGCAGTGCCCCACTTCTCGGTACCAATTTTCTGTGTTAGTTCATTTGTGTTGCCATAAATGAATACCTTAATCTGGGCAATTTATTTTTAAAAAAGATTTATTTAGCTCATTGTTTTGCAGGCTGTAAAGGCATGGCACTAGCAACTGTTTGGCTTTTGGAGAGGCCTCAGGAAGCTTACAATCATGGCAGAAGGCAAAGAGGGAGCAGGCATGTCACATGGGAAGTGAGAGGAAGCAAGAGAGATTTTAGGTTCTTTTAAACAACCAGCTCTCAAATAAACTCACGGAGTGAGAACTCATTCATTATCATGGGGAAGGCACCAAGCCATTCATAAAGGATCAACCTACATGAGCCAACTATCTCCCATCAGGCCCACCTCCAACACTGGAGGTCACATTTCAACAGGAGATTTGGAGGGGACAAAACATCCAAACAATATCAGAGGGTCACATCCAAAAAAGAAAAAGATGAGTTACAGCAAGGAGATAGCCACTAGAATAGGGAGAAGTGACGAGAGAAGCACCCTTTGGTTTATCGTGATTGACAATCCT